GGGCCCATTTACAATACCTGTGCAGATGTGTATATGAACCCCAATCTAAAGTTTGACGTCATTGATCTTCGATAGTTTATCCAAATGATATTCAGATGGCTAACCTTCATTCATGCAATTGTTCATAAACATGAGTACAATATTATTGGTTTTACTATCAGAGTTGGTCTTCGTATGTACGAGTATTCTCTATTCTGTCTGTAAAGAATGAAATGTTTCCAGCTGTACATTTGATGGCATATGGACCAATTAGTAGGCCATCCTTGAACTCGAATGGCTATGGCTAAGTTTTTAAGGGCCTAGGATTATTTCCCAAGATGTATGACTTGCATTAAGGTTTGTATTGGAGTCAAAAAGTGTAAAGAGACTGACTTGCATTTTACTGGTTTTATTATCAGCTGCAGGTATTTTGAAGATATGCTCGTCTAGAGAGCTACTAAAATTATATTTTGCTTTCCCATTGGTGAAATTGCCTGTAAATTGATGATAGTGATATATTTATGTGAAGGGAGGAGAGTTAGCTGAAACTCATATCACCTTTCCTTTCCTAAGAGAGAGAGAGAGAGAGAGAGAGAGAGAGCAGAAGTGAAACTATAATCCTCCTCAGACACAATATGTGTGAAGAAGAGGTCAAGTTGAGTTGGTGGTTGCTTTTGAAATGAGCTAGTTTTCCTTTATCATTTACCCTTAGAAGCAGTCTTTCTACCTGCTTTGTTTTCACATGAACCCATATAATCTTTTTATTCCAGAAGTGGACCTTTCCAATAGACTTTGAGAATTACATTATCTGTCTTGTTTCATTTTGTTGTTGATGGAGAAGCTTCCTTTAGCAGGTGAAAGAAAGAGAGCATCTTTATTTAAACTGGGTTGGGTACCACCAAAACATTACGATAGGATAGAATGATTCCTCATGAGCTACGTTTGTTTACGTCCACCTCATCGAGTGTTCTTGTGTCACCAACCATGCTCATTGCTCAAGTGGGCCCCTCATCTCATACGGTGTCGGTGAGAGTGTTTATCATGATTCATCATGTTCTGCCAAGCCAGCCAGGGAGAAGAATTGCAAGTTAGAAGAAGAACCTTTGTGGGTTTGTGGGGAGTCTCTCTGTATCTTAATAATCATCCACGATTCCACCCAAAGAAACGAAAAGAAGAAGAAAAAGAGATAGATTGGTTTGGTCGCATCACATGGCCAGTTTCCAAAAATGGATTGCATGTCCTCTACAAGCTACAAACAGTTGTAGCCTTTTGGGTCCATGACTCCCTGCTATGCTCCCTTCCCGTACCTTTCTGTTTTTGCCCATCAACCCAGTTAGTGATTGAGTTCCTTTCCTACCTCCTAATCGAACTTCACCTCACCCATGTCACCACCACCAAGAAATAAAAACCAAAATTTAAGCCTTGAACAATATGTATTGTATTTTGAGAAAGAAAAATAATAAATTTTATTTGTTTAGATTACACCTTGTCAAGTAAGACTTTTAACTCAAGTGATTTAGAGTGATTTGAATATTATATAAACAAACAAAATTACAACTTGCTAAACCTACACTTGAGTCCTACATTAGACAAGTCAAAATGTAAGAAAAGGGTCATATGGGCCTACAAGGACAGTGAGGGGTTTAGCTTACCAGTCGTCCGTTCCTATCCATAACGCAATTTTGCTTAAATTGAACCCTTTTGGGCCTAAACATGGAGTCCTTGTGAATATTTATAAAATGGAGTCAAAGGTCAACAATGCCGAACAAACATGCTTATTCAGGATTATGCTTGTGAATAGAGGTTTTAAGAATATATGACATTTTAAAACGTAAAAATGTTAAAATGGTAGGAAAAAGAAGTTGATTTATTTTATTTATTTGTTTAGGTTTTACTTTTGTTGAGTTGAGCACACGGCAACATAAACTCTTGCTTCAATGAAACATTTTAGAGAATGTCAAACACATCCTCGCAAGCAACAGTTTAGTTTATTTGTTGTGTGTGTGTGTGTGTGTTTGTGTATGATGAGTGTATGAGACGAGACGAAGAGACGAAGAGACGAAGAGAAGGAGATGGATTGCAAGTCTGCAAAAACAGAGTAGACTGCATGCCTACGACTAAGTCAGTCCAAATCTTTCATTATATAGCATCACCACCTCAATTATTCAAAGTATCTTTCAAGTTTCAACTAATCCTACCCCTTATAATTAATCATCATCATTATAATTATTCATGATTACTCAGTCATTTTGTTTACCAAGTCACCCTCAATGCTTGATCAAGCCAATTACAAACAATTGATGATGATGATGGTTCTGCATAAATAAATTCTGGGCCCATCTGAGGCAAGGCAATTATCTTTTTGAGGGCCAAAAATGAAGCAATTATCATTTGATCATGCAGAGATTGGAGGATACTATATCTATATATATAATTGTATTCACATGAACTGCTGTTCAATGATTTGCAGCATCAATCAAACAAAATGCTTGTTAATATGAGTAGATGTGATGATTGGCAAATCTGTTTTACCAATTAGTACCTCCTTCTTGGAAGCATGTATTTTAATTATTTTTGGAGCAAATGGATTGCAATTTAGATTTGGTTGGTTGGTTGGTCTGGTTCTTTCATCTGATGTAACCTGACCTTTGAGCGAAAATTAAGTTTCACGAAAATAGTTTTTGAAAGGCGAAAGAATAGTTCGCTTTGAAAGGCGAAATTAAGTTTTACACCTTGTCAAGTAAGACTTTTAACTCAAGTGATTTAGAGTGATTTGAATATTATATAAACAAACAAAATTACAACTTGCTAAACCTACACTTGAGTCCTACATTAGACAAGTCAAAATGTAAGAAAAGGGTCATATGGGCCTACAAGGACAGTGAGGGGTTTAGCTTACCAGTCGTCCGTTCCTATCCATAACGCAATTTTGCTTAAATTGAACCCTTTTGGGCCTAAACATGGAGTCCTTGTGAATATTTATAAAATGGAGTCAAAGGTCAACAATGCCGAACAAACATGCTTATTCAGGATTATGCTTGTGAATAGAGGTTTTAAGAATATATGACATTTTAAAACGTAAAAATGTTAAAATGGTAGGAAAAAGAAGTTGATTTATTTTATTTATTTGTTTAGGTTTTACTTTTGTTGAGTTGAGCACACGGCAACATAAACTCTTGCTTCAATGAAACATTTTAGAGAATGTCAAACACATCCTCGCAAGCAACAGTTTAGTTTATTTGTTGTGTGTGTGTGTGTGTGTTTGTGTATGATGAGTGTATGAGACGAGACGAAGAGACGAAGAGACGAAGAGAAGGAGATGGATTGCAAGTCTGCAAAAACAGAGTAGACTGCATGCCTACGACTAAGTCAGTCCAAATCTTTCATTATATAGCATCACCACCTCAATTATTCAAAGTATCTTTCAAGTTTCAACTAATCCTACCCCTTATAATTAATCATCATCATTATAATTATTCATGATTACTCAGTCATTTTGTTTACCAAGTCACCCTCAATGCTTGATCAAGCCAATTACAAACAATTGATGATGATGATGGTTCTGCATAAATAAATTCTGGGCCCATCTGAGGCAAGGCAATTATCTTTTTGAGGGCCAAAAATGAAGCAATTATCATTTGATCATGCAGAGATTGGAGGATACTATATCTATATATATAATTGTATTCACATGAACTGCTGTTCAATGATTTGCAGCATCAATCAAACAAAATGCTTGTTAATATGAGTAGATGTGATGATTGGCAAATCTGTTTTACCAATTAGTACCTCCTTCTTGGAAGCATGTATTTTAATTATTTTTGGAGCAAATGGATTGCAATTTAGATTTGGTTGGTTGGTTGGTCTGGTTCTTTCATCTGATGTAACCTGACCTTTGAGCGAAAATTAAGTTTCACGAAAATAGTTTTTGAAATCTTTTGCCCGTTTTCAGCTCATTTGTGTATATAGCCTATGGGTGGGTCGAGCAGCTGTCATGTTTTTTTTCATGATGCAACATCCCATCTTACAACATCTAGTCAGCAGCACCCCCTTTTTGTTTTTGTTCATAATTCATTCATTTAAGCTTTGATTAACCGAAGTTTAAAACTTGATTAGGCCGTAATTAGTTGAGCTTTTAAGTCACTGGTTTGACGCAATTAATTAGTCATAATCAGGCACTTGCCATGAATGGACAATTCAAAAATGCGCTTCAAGGAAAAGACAGATTAATGAAATTTAGAAATTGACCTTATACCTAGCTAGCTATTATGCAATTTCTGTCTTGTATGATGCAAGAATTCAAAAGAACAAAGCAAAGGGCATCAATCAAAGCCTGTGATTTGTGATTGAGTTTCCATTGAGATGCAGAAAGAAAGAGAAAGATGTGATTGGATTGGAAGGAAAGAAGAGAAATTTCAAAACTAGAGGTGGCAGAATGTTCTTCTACCTTTCTTTCTTTATTTATAGTTTAATTTGTAATGATTTTCTCTATAAAGAAAGAAAGAAAGAAAGAAAGGAAGGAAATTTTGAAAGAGAAGAAAAGGGCCTACTTGGTGGTTAGGACTTGGTTGGGATGGCATGGCTACCTCAAAAGTCTAACATATGGTGAGAAGAGGGACCGAATGAGCTTCCTTAACTTCTGGCTTTAAAGAAAACTACTACAAGCTTAAGCTAAACATTTCTCATAATTCTCATAGTCTTGCCTGGTTTATGATTCTCTCTCTCTCTCTCTTCTTTTTTTTCCTTTTTCTTTTGAGTCACTCACATCAGTACATTTTCCAATTGTTTCACCTTTTTGGGATCATTTTCTTTAGTATATATACTACTTTCCTCAGTGCTGTTTTTCTTTGCCTCTCCGCAAGACAGTAACTCTTGAAACTTTGTCACGTTTCTCTCTCTCTCTCTCTCTCTCTCTCTCTCTCTCTCTCTCTCTCTCTCTCTCTCTCTCTCTCTCTCTCTCTCTCTCTCTCTCTCTCTCTCTCTCTCTCTCTCTCTCTCTCTCTCTCTCTCTCTCTCTCTCTCTCTCTCTCTGTGTGCACGTTGAGTTTCAAATTCTCATCTTTAATTGCAAGTTGCAAACTGCAAGTTATCCAAAGCTGTCACAAACAAAGATTTCTTTTTCTTCTCATTCATTTTTCTTAAACAACAATTTCTTTTCTCTATCATATCTTCCTGTAGCCTTAAAATACATTACTGTCTCCCTCTTTTGTTTCTTTCTACCCTCTTGTTTTTTTTACAAACAAAAATAGTAGAAACTTTCCTCTGCTTCATTTCCAGAGGAGAAGGAAGGAGGAAATCCAATTCATCCTCTGATCTTCGAAATTTCCTAGAATTACTCACAGTTCTTGAAACTTGTGCAGAAAAGCTGCCATTCTCTGTTTTTGTCCCCTTTGTTCCTGTAAATTTTCAAAATTGCCTTTGTTCCTCTTTTTTGACTTCCGAGTCCACCCCATCATGTCAAGTTTCAAGCCCTCATAGTTGAAACCTCAGCATTTCCACATGCCATCACATTCTTCAATTCATTCCAACTTCTTCAACTCTTGTTGATTCTTCTCAAGCTCATTATATCTTAGTTAGCTACTTTTCGTCTGCTTAACTATTTTGATCCTGTCATTGTTTCCTCTAAACACCATTTTTCCTTGTGCTTCCTAATCAAACATCAATATGTGCTCAGAAGCCAGTCCTCCCAGATTATCATTTTCCCTTGATCTTGGTCAAGCAGATGTTTTACCAGTTGGTCACAACCAGCCTCGCAGGGACACATCACTCTTGGACTTGAATTGTGACTTTGAGTTTAGCATCAGCGGCAGCTTCAGGCATGAATCTTCTTCTGCAGACGAGCTTTTTTCTCATGGGGTGATCCTTCCTATGCAGCCTAGAGAGAGGGTTGACGAGGCACCGAAACGAATATCTAACAGTGAAGCCGGACATAGTGCTTCCCTCCCTCCTCTTCCAAGTCCTCCATCAAATGAGAACCAAAAGAAAGAGAGAGTGAAGGAAGTTGTTATGGATATGAATTCTGATCATCTGGAGCTGCACAAGCCTCAGTCCAAGTCTTTCTGGGGGTTCAAGAGAAGCAGCAGCCTCAACCAAGACAACAAGAAGAGTTTGCTTTGCTCCTTGCCACTCTTGTCAAGAAGCAATTCAACTGGATCAGCTCCAAATCCAAATCCAAAGAAAACCACATTTAAGCAAAGCTCGTCACAAAAGCAGTCATCAAATATTTCTATGTCAAAGTCGTCTTCATATTCATCATCGTCTTCCTCCTCATCGAACCCTTACGCAACGCTGCCGAGGCCCCCATCAAAGAAGGGTTACAATGGATCATCTTATTATGGCAATGGTGTTCGAATTAGCCCCGTTTTAAATGTACCATCTCCTTACATTTCCAAAGGAACTGCAAAACTCTTTTGTTTGGGTTCTTTTTTACACCCCGGCGGGAAAGATAAGAAGGCCAAGAAATGATTTATTCGCAGAAATCTTATGAGTTTACTTGGAAAGAAGAAACAGATTGTTCAGTTTGTACAGTAAAAAAAACAGAGGATGGGTAGGAGGAGGGTCTTGGAAGGCTGACTTCACATGTTAAAATGTCATTAGCTCAGGTGACACAACAGATGCCCTTATTTTCAGGATTTGTCTTCATTATGGGGGAGGGTTGCTTTTGATTATTCTAAAAGTGCTTTTGGTCTCTGTCTTCTTCTATGCTAATGAAAATTGAACTTTGGAAAGAAGAAACAGATTGTTCAGTTTGTACAGTAAAAAAAACAGAGGATGGGTAGGAGGAGGGTCTTGGAAGGCTGACTGAAGCATGTTAAAATGTCATTAGCTCAGGTGACACAACAGATGCCCTTATTTTCAGGATTTGTCTTCATTATGGGGGAGAGTTGCTTTTGATTATTCTAAAAGTGCTTTTGGTCTCTGTCTTCTTCTATGCTAATGAAAATTGAACATTGAACATTGAACATACAGACACTGTTTGTTCAGCTAACCTTTTTGTTTGTAAACTTTGTAGTTATATATGAATCAAAGATTATTCGCCTTTTTCCAATAAGGATTTGTTGTGGTTGAAGAGAAGAAGGGTTTCATGGGGTGGGTTTGAAAAACAAATCTACGTTGAAATGGCCTTCGCTTTCTAGATTTCTTGTCCGGATTAACTTTTAGGTGTTGAGCTAATTTAATCACGGACCATGTCTTCGGTTCGTCACGTCATCAACCTTTTTTTCATATTGGGGTCTAGTCTAGCATAGTATGGCTAGATGCCTTTTTCTCCTACAGTGTACGGTACCAAAGGCTATACATAATGCTGTATCTACTTTGGGTGACGTTGGCTTGACATGACCATGATGAATGAGACCTATTATGAATTTATCTGGTAAACGGTAACCTCATGTGAAGGTAAAACTTCGTAGAAAAAGAAAAGCACAACTAATCTCCAGAAATTACTATTATTTATTTGCCACTTGAATTGAACCCCACCCCATAGTTTCCTCTAGTCTGATTGGCTCTCCTCTCCTCTACATTTGAACTTATACCGACAATTGCCACTTGGCACCGATACCGGGGAAAAAAAGATGAAAAAAACTTGATTCTTCCTTGTATTGATGTACTTTTCCCTGTTTAGTGGTGTATACATCATAAGAATTGTATGCAAAGGTTAACAGAAGAGTGGAAAGATAACAGATTATAGATTGACAAATTTACCACACCATGGAAAAAAAAAAAGCAAATTTCTGTACAGAAGGCATCTCAATGCGCTCTGTTACTGACCTGTCTAAATGCTCAAAAACGAATCTTGAAACCAAGGTGAGATCATATGATATTTACTGGGCTTCTACAAAATTGCTCAGCGGAGGTAAAGAAACCAGTTTTCTGGTTGTTGGGAAAATTGAATTGCCTATACAAGTATCTACAAACTAATAAGTATACATCTCTTTGTCGACGAATAAAACCTGTTGTTAGTGTGATGCAGGGCAGTCGGTATTTGTTGTCTCGCCCTTGATCACCCGGGTATTGTAAGATCCACAGTTTCCACACTTGTGATATAGCCAGTGAAACCGTGAGGAACCCTTTCGATCGCAGTCGTTACATAGGATGTCCTGGATTGCAAAAATTATACATCAAATGGTGCCTTTACTAGCATTATGTTAATTATAACATGGCTCTAATTTTGGACAAAGTGAGGCACATATCAGGAGTTAAACCGGACACATGTAATGAACCATGAGAAAAAGAGACCAACTAACTTAGAGACCAATGACTATAATAAGAAAAATAGAAGCAATGTACCTGACAACGGTTCCTGTATTCCTCTGGAAGCTGCTCGGCAGCCAATAATGCATCAAGCATGCCAAAGTAAACCTGAGTGGGTATAGAGGTTAAGAAAGATCTCACAATTGGGTTTCATATATGATCTCAAGATGATGACAAAGCAGCTCAGTGGGCATTACAACTAATTCTAGAAAAATATATGTTTTAAAAAAAAGAGAGAGAAATAATCTTACCGCCATATCTCCCAAAGATTTGCTGCAAATTGGACAAGTATAGTGACTGCAAGTGTACGCCTACCATAAAATACCTGGTAGTTAAGACTCACTGTCTTCTAAAAAGAAAGAAGGAAAGTACATGAAAAATGGTTCAAAAGAAGTTTAAGAAATCTACAGACCTGAAAGCAAGCAGAATGCATGTAATGGCCACAGGGCAGAGCTCTAACTGTTGCACTTGATGTGAATAAAAAATCACAGCAGATGGGGCAATTTGTTTCTAAACTTTTCTCCAGGCACTTGTGGTTCACTAACTTTATCCCCAGGCAACAATTGCATGTCATGCAATGAAAGAAGTCAATGCCAAGACCCTTTCCAAGGCGGCATAAATTGCAAAACGGGCAATGATATACAGTCCTGAAGAAAAAAGAATATTTAAATTTACATAAAAGAATTCACTAATTATTGATTATTTACAAATTTTAATTTCCCAATAAGAATTCATGTACCTTTCATCATCAAAAAATTTGCATATATTGCAATAATACTTTGCCATGGATAGTTCATTGCATGAAGGTGTAGTGCATATTGGCCCAACCGGCTGAATGTTCAGGCAGCGCATGCACATCATTTCTGATGTTGCTTTCCTGCAATGATTAAAAGAACATCAGAAGTCTTAACCAAAAAAGAAAAGAAAAGGAGAACAGATATATTATAACATAACTTGAAACGTAAGTGTTGATATTCGAAAATTACCTATCCATTGAATGATCGCTCACATTATCATGGCAAAATCTACATGCAAATAACTTGCCACAGCAAGCAGCTCGGAGTTTGCAGTTTCTTTTGTAGTGTTCACACCCAAATTCTTTTTTCTCTGCATCTCGATACGATGGTGAGCGTCCAACTGCGTCTTCACCAGTAGAAGATTCTCCTGCTATTTCTTGAGGTAACTTCTGCTGAGTAGCAATCCAGCGGCTAAAACAAACAAGTCACTCATTAATAATTTAGGAATTGGGGTGTAGAGTTTTGTATTTAGATGTCATGATCTAATTTCTGTGTCAAAATAAAGATAATGTAGCAATCCAAGAAAAGTTCTAGAAGGTCAGTATAGAACTAACCTAGTCATAAGATTCTGCACAAGATATGCCTTTCTCCTTGGATCAAGAGTCGCATCACGATAAACCTTTCTGATCTCTGACTCAAGTTCATTTTGATTCATACGGAAAATATCCTTCCAACCAGGTTTGAACATCTGATCAGTCTGGTCCAAGCTTTCTTGAAATTCAACACCTAGAACAAAATAAAAGTTCAAATGAGTAGGATGAAAGGACAGCTCTCGCCTTAACCGTGCGTTTATCTCCACCTTTGATACAAACCTTTTTGAGGAATGCTGCTTTCCCATGTTTCAGTTCGTGAAGTTAACTCTGAAGTTCCTTTCCAACATTCATTGAGCCACTCACTGAACATTGTATTTTTAGTTGCTTGTTTCCACGTATCCATCATTTTGTTCTGTTCATCCTGAGTAAGTGCAGAAGTCACCCATGGTAACATTGATTGGAGCACCTCAGCACCAGTGGTCCCAATAATGCGGCCCACTATTTTGTCTTGCTCCTCAACAGTGAAGTGTCTGCCAAATAAAGGCCACAGCTCAAGTTCTTCCCTGAAAATATGCTGATCTAGTGTAACTTTTATAGATTTGCACATCCCTTGAAGCTTTGTAGCTAGCTCATTATACATTCTAGTATGGTTGATATCATTAGCATCAGGAAAGCTAACGCTACTTCCAGCTAAATCCTCATCCATGTGAGCCTTTTGCAAGCTTTCATGAAGGTGAGAAAGTTCAGAAAGAACATGTGAGATATCTTTAAATAAATTTTCCTCCTGTTTATGGTCCAGTGTGTATGAGTGACTCACATTATGAAGCGCCTCTTTGGATTCCAGTGCAGGAAACACTATATCATCCTCTGCATTACTATGTGCTCTGTATAAGCCCCACAGCAAGCGAAACCTTCCTATAAACTGCCGGAGGGTGGTTTCATCACAATAACTAAGCTTCCCAGATTCAATATCCAAATACTCCAAATCTTTGCGTATGGCTTTATGAAATTTGAAAATAGTATCAATAGGTCGTTCTCCACAGCCAAAATCAGAAGAGGAACTATCTGTTTCCCAGACAAAAAGACTGGAATTGAGAGATGGGGCACTGGAGCTGAAAGACAAGGATCGCAAAGACTTGGCCCCAAAAAGAGAACTTGACCCGAGATTATTGCTGTTTACTCCTAAACCTGGGACACAGCAGGACTGATCACTACAACATGGTTTCTGGGCATTTACAGTCTCTGAAGGTTCAGAGGCATCACTGTGTTTGCATGACATTGAAACATTTCGTTTGACCAGCCTCTTCACGTTATTTGCGTGAGCTGATATCAAGCTGTCTCTAGCAGACAATGCAGAAGCACACGCACATGCTGAACGAACAAAATCGTCTTCAATATCAGTGAAACTTTTAACAGGACAGCAACCAATTGCACTTAAAGACAAGCATGAACCCTGATTACGAGCCTTGCATGCCCATCCAGAAAAGAGTGTTACCAAAGCAGAATCAGGCACTGGAGCTGAATCATAACACTAGCTGTTGTCAGAATATAAAGAGACTAATAAACTTTTTTTAGTAAAAAGTGAACATACAAAAGATAAATACAGAACCTGCTAACTGCATGTTTTTGAGAAAATTCTTCGTTTCATCTTCTGTCAACGACCCGACTAGCCATGGCAAAACACGCTCAATCAGTCTTAAGGGCATCATGCACAAACTTTGATACAAAAGTTCGCGCTGTCTTTTGAAGCTGAAGTGCTTTCGAGCAAGTGGAAGAACCTACATATGCAGGAAATGGAGCAGGTGGTTTTAGGACTTAGACGGCATATTGGTTCTATAGTTTCTAGTATCCAACATTGATTAAACATGTTGTATTACAATGATCAGAGAGGTTCTTAATCTTTTTCTATAGGTACATGGTTTCTGATTTCTAATCATTTAAATACAGATGATATGAGGTAATGCCCCCATACAACTTATATGACTACTCTCATCACTATCATGCAAAGAGCAACACAAAAATGCAAAAGACAG